CAGCACCTGTTCGATCCCCGGGCGGGCAGGCCACCAGGCGAGGGTCCCACATGGCTCGCAGGCCTCTCCTGCAGCACCCGCTGCTCCCTTCAGCAGTGTACTTCTTCGTCAGTCTGCCTGTTCTGCTCTCCGCTCTGGCTCTGGTGAATTCTTCACCCTCCCGCACTTCTGACAGTACCCAGTGCTTGTATAAATAAATAAATCTTTAAAAAAAAAAAGAATTTACATTGTGTAACATTTTCACAAATACTTGATACACCTAATTTCTGCCTTTATTTAATGTACATAAAACAATATTTTGATCTTAATTTGCATTTTCCTGATTTCATTTTTTAAGATTTATTTATTCATGCAAACAAGAAAAGGGGTACAGGCCAGATGAGTGGGAGGGTGAGAGGATTCACCAGAGACAGAGCGGAGAACAGAACAGGCAGACTGACTGAAATACACTGCTGAGGGGAGCAGCTGGACGTGACAAGTGAGGTCTGCCACGCCATGTGGTTATATCCCCCCCCACCCCCACTGGGATTGAACCCATGCTGCAGAGGCTGCACTCAACCACTTGCACCACCAGGAAGGCCCTTTCCTAATTTCTAAGAAGAGTTGGCAGTTTTTCCCTATTATTTTAGTGTCTATTGAATTTCCACTTCTGTGGAAATACATGGTGTCTATAATAGTTAGGGCTAAGACAAATATCTCTGATAAATATGCTTTCAAAAGGGTTTTGTACAAGATTGAAGCTTATTTCATGCACAATTGAGGGTTGTGATGTGAGCATCTCTTATGACTGTTCCAGTCAGCCCTTATAGATCCAGGTCCTCTCATCTCCCAGCACCATCACTGAGATGTCATCCTCTTCTGAGGGTCAGAGCTCATCACAGCACATGGAAAAGAGGGAAAGTTCTTAGGAACAATGTTCCTTAGGCAAGTGAGGTGGAAACTGCACAGGTGACTTCTGTCCCATCTTTTTACCAAGAAATTTGTCAGTTATTTATAACTGCAGACACTTGGGAAATGTGGGCTCTGACATTTCAGTATTTGAAGAAGGCAGTTATTATCATAATCTCCAGTTTGTGCTATATTTTGATGAACTGAAATTTCTTAATTTAATTAAGTTGAATTTAATAATATGGTGTTCTGATCAGCACATTTTATATTTTAGGAAAGCTTTCTCTGTCCCTAGTATAGCCTATAGAGAGATAAATGTGATATTTAGATGTTTATGCATACACATACACACACAAATATATATATATATATATATATAAATAAAATCTTCTCTTTAAGATTTAGATATTTACTCCATCTGTAGCTTATATCTGTATATGACATGAGGCTGGAATCCACTTTCAGATTTTTACATATGGATAACCAATTATGCTACCACTACTTACCCCACTCCATCTTTTTCTAAGAATACATCATCAGATAAAGCAGTCCTTGCTTTGCACCAATTTCAGTTTCAATGATTTAGCTAGATTATACAAGTCCTCCAACAACATGGTTCAAATTTTAGTTATCATGGTACATTAATTATAATTGCCAAAAGTGCACACTCTCTACAGACCACTACATAAATAACAGATCTATATCCTGATCAGTGACCAATGTCTTTACTTCTTCAAAGTCTATCAGTGATGCCTGTTGCCCATCTCTCACACAGTTCATGCGCCGAGAGCAAAGCATGTTATATTGACTCTCAGTGAAAATCTCATGAGTAATTTTACAAAAATGTATAATTCATGGGTGAAAAGTGCATGAAAGAAATAAAAAGAGATAAGGCTGGTAATGAAACTCGTATCAAACATAAATGAAGCTATCTGACTGTTGGAAGGTTGACAGGTAGGCTTAGTGAAGAGGACATAACAATACATGAGGAAAGTGGTTACAACAAAAAGAATGAACATGTCCCAGAGAAAGTGATGCTGGTAAACACTTCACATTAAGTGGAACTTTTAGAGATATTTTACTACATTGAAAACACACAGGATAAAATGTTCAAAGATACTTAAAATTTAGAAAGGACTTTGGGAAATTGCTAGAATATAAAGAGATGCTTGCTCTTTATTGTAAATTATATGATGAAAAACAGAAGGCGAACACTGATGAAAGTACACTTGATACACTTTTAAAGAAGAAATATAACTTTTAATTCTCAATGTTTCTAATATTTTAAATTACAATGTACTAAATATTAGTATTTATGTTGTGGGTTACTATGCGAAGTTCCAACAGATGGGTGCAGGCTTCCCTCCATTGGCAAGAAATTCTTGGACACCAGTTGAGTGGCTAGGATTTCAGCTCTATTCAGACACTAATTACCTGGAGATAAGCATCAGATTCCACAGGTTAAGGACTCAGTCTCTCAGGAGCTCCCTCCATTTCAGACAGCTGCAGCCCCAGGCAAGTCCTAACCAAGCTGTTGCAAATTGGAGGTTCTGTGAATCCCTCCTTAGACTTCAGGTGCCTCTTAAAAGGCCAGATTACTGTCTGTGCTTCTGGGTCAATTGATTATAAACCAGAGATTCCCAGAACCCTTTCCTGACATTTGATTAATTTTCTAGAATGGCACACAGAACTCAGGAACTCCATTTACTCACTTTATCATCAGTCTATTACAAAGGATCTTATAATATATGAATCAATATTCAAATGAAGAGAAATATAGTTTGAGGTACTGGAATAAGGAAGCATGAATCCTCATGGAGTGTGAAGCCTGTCAGGCTGCACCTGGAAATGAAAGCATTTCCTGGAAGCTCCCGTCCACTTGGCTTTTTATGGAGGTTACATTACATAGGCATGATTGATTGTATCATTGACAACTGGCAATTGAACTCAATCCATACTGCCTCCCACACTCCATGGAGATCAGGGAGATTGAACTGGAAGTTCCAATGCTCAAATCACATGCGACCAACACGTATCCTCAGTTGCTTCCTTGGTGTCACCTCATTGATGTAGCAAAAACTGCCTTTAACATGTTCAACACTTAGGAAATTCCAAGACTTTGGGGGAAGAGTATCTATGAGCCAGGAATTGCAGATAAAGACCCCATATGCATGAGAAATATATATATGTATATTTTACACAAACAATATATGCAGTCCTTGCTCTTCGAAGAGCTCTTGATGAAGCCATGCCAAACAACACTAATAATCAAGAGGGAAACATTCAATTGTTTAACATTTTTTTCTAAAACATCAAAAGTTCTCTTACTGTTATATACATGAAAATAAAAAATCAACTGTGATATTATTACTAATAGGAATTATATATATTTGGTCATTCAAATATATAAATATATGTGCCATTCAAATATATATATATATATTCCTGAGTTCTATATGCCACCTGAATGATCGAATATATATAATTTCTATAAATGACACACAAATAACCAAATATATATAATTCCTATAAATCATAATAGCACAATGTTGATTTTTTATTTTCTTATATATATATATACATATATATAACAGTAAGAGAATTTTTGACATTTTAGAAAAAATTTTTAACAATTGAATAATTATAACTTTCCCTCTTAGTTATTAAGATTGTTTGGCAAAGGGCTTCCCTAGAGGCCTAGGAGTTAAGTCTCATTGCTATCACCACTATGGTCTGAGTTCCATCCCCAACCCGGAGCTAACTCACATGGTGCAGCAGACCTCTCCTGTCTCACCCCCTGCTCCCCTCAGCAGTGTATTTCAGTAGATCTGCCTGTTCTGCTCCTCACTGTGTCTCTGGTGAATCCCCTCATACCCCCTCTACCCCCACACCTCTGGCCTACACCCTGGTTCCTCTTCTCAGAAATTAAAAAAAAAAAATTACCTGAAAATGATTGGCATGGCTTTAGCATGAGTTCTTCACAGAGCAAGAATTGCCTGTATCAAGTTAGTGTAAAAATGTACATCAATGACAAGTCTTTCTCTCTGTTACTTAAGTCAGTTTATCTATACCAGAACCAATTCTGTATTTTCTTAATTGGCATAGATATGTAATAAATTTTGATAGTGGTAGGATAAGTCTCCTGCTTCATGTGAATTCAGGAATTCTGTGATATTTTTGGGGTTTACTCATCCACATACATACAGTTTATCATATGCTTGTCAATTTTTTTTATAAAACCATATTAAGAATTTTATTTAATTACATTAAAGTTTTAGGTTAGTTTAAGAGAAACTGAATCTCTATAATTTCTCCCTACCCATGATATGGGCTAGCCATTTATTTATGTTTTCTCTATTGATTCTTTAAGTTTAGATTTATTCCAAATTCTTAAATATCCATAATAATTGAACATTGTAATTTTTGTAGAATTGTGCTTCTTATCTGTTCCTTTTTACTCGATAGCAATATAATGGCTTTTTGTATATTTATTATACAACTATCCATTTTTCTTATGTCTCTCTTAATTGCACTATTTTCTAGTACTTCTATGTGTTTTTAATTTAGACAGTCACTTTTTCTGTAAATAATGTCAGTTCTGTTTCTTTCCAACACATTATTTTGCATTCTCTTTCTACCCTCCTTCCTTCTCCTTTTCTTTCTTTTTTTTTTCCTTTAATGCATTGACAAGCACAGTAATCCTTGATAACTTCTAAATTCTCTCCTTTAACAATGATGATTATAACTTTGCATCATTATTCAAACATATCAATTTTTTATAAATAATACAGTGACATGTATTTATATAAATGTACTTCTCTCTTGATTCTTGGCTTTTAAATACTTTTGTTTTTTAAGAATTTAATCTAAAGTTTGTATTCCTGTGAGGGAATATTTTCTTTTTCTCTTCTTTTACTATACTGAGTAAATTAGGTTGCTCACTCATGCTTACATCTCGCTCTTGGTGTAATTTAGACGTGCATATTTTTGTACACAAATTGCCTGACAAGTATACTTTAAAAAGAACATTTGACAAGTCTATGAATAAAATCACAATACTTGTATATTTTATGCTAAAGAGTCAAAGTGATCTCCTTCATTAATTTATATAGGTAATGGATGGTTTCTTGAGAGTATTGTCGTCAAATCTGAAGAGGAAGATGGCAATCAAGAAGTGCTGTTTTCATGCAACAGGTATGCTGTTACTTAATGTCATATTATGCAAATGTATGCTCCCCTTTATCCAGTTCATTCCAGCTGTGTCATTGGCACACCTCTTCCCATCTGTGTAGTCATATCATCCTCCCCTTTAAATTCAGAGGAGAGGGACTTCTTTTAGGAGACTATTTTTTTACCAACTCTAGTCATTCTCTCTTTATTTGAAATATGTAATATTTTCTCATCTGGAGTAAGCATGCTGAAATGGAAAGAAAACTGGATTATGACTTAGAAAAGAGGTTCTTGATACTACCTGCTGGTTCTGCAAACAAGGGCAAATGTGGGTACTATTTTCTATTTCTCTGGGGTTCAATGTCCTTACATGTAAAGCAGAAAATTTTTTATTCTTCCTAGTTTATTTGAATCATTTAGTATCAAATGAAGTTATGTGTGGATTTTAAAGCATTATTCTAATGTGGTAGATTTAATATAAATTAAAAGAATCAAATTGCAAGGGGAGCTCTATATAGCAGTGAATCACTTAAACCCTCTGACCATCAGTTTTCAAAAGTGACTAAATTTCAAAAATGATTAAATCAAATATACTTACATTATCAGGTTATTATGCAAAGAAAAAACAAACCAAATATGCCTTAAAACAGAGGGCACAAAAATAGAAATTAGCTTCCCTCCATTACTAATTAATCTATAGAATATATTGATTTATTTCATTTAGCTGTACAAATAGTAATTTGTATCATATGAAGTAGTAGCATAGACAAGTGATCCAGCTCTAAGGGCATAAGGTGGCTGCCTGGAAAAAATTAGTGGATATTGTTGGGGTACAGTTTAACGAGGTTAAAAACTAAGCCACCCTGCCTTGCCTAGCAGGCAGCTTTGGGAGGCTTAAATAGATAAGGGAATTGATAAGGGACAGGCCATAAGACCAACCACTGTGGACAGAAAAAGTGAGCCCAGCTCCAGGAATGCAGATGTCGAGGCCAGGACATGTTTCTGTCTAAAGCCAGTGCCCAAAACTAGACATCCTAGCAGATAACTGGTGCAAACTGGAGCCATAAGTTAGAAAGCCTGAAAACAGTATAAAAGAGAACCCAAACCTTAAAAAACAATCCAAAAGATCAATGAAACCAAAAGTTGGTTCTTTGAAAAAATAAACAAAATAGACAAACCTCTAGCCAGGCTCACAAAGAAAAAATGGGAGAAAACACATATAAATAGGATTATAAATGAAAGAGGAGAAATCACAACAGACTCAGTAGAAATCAAAAGAATAATCAGAGATTACTATGAACACTTACATGCAAACAAATTCAACAACCTAGAAGAGATGGACAAATTCCTAAAACAATATAATCATCCAAAGCTGGACAAAGAAGAAATAGAACACCTAAACAGACCAATTACAAGCAGCAAAATTGAGGCAGTAATCAAAGCACTCCCCAAAAACAAAAGCCCAGACCCAGATGGCTTCACAAATGAAGTCTACCAAATGTTCAGCAGTGTATTATTGCCTATTCTACACAAATGCTTTCAAAAAATTGAAAAAGAAGGAATACTACCAAATACATTCTACAAATCCAACATTACACCAATACCAAAACCAAACACAACATATAAAAAGAAAATTACAGGCAAATCTTCCTAATGAACACTGATGCAAAAATCCTCAGCAAAATCCTTGCCAACAGAATCCAACAATGCATCAAAGGGATAATACACCACGATCAAGTGGGATTCATCCCAGGGGCACAAGGATGGTTCAAGATACTAAAATCGATCAGTGTAATTTAACACATCAACAAAAATAAAAATAAAAACCATACGATCATATCAATAGATGCTGAGAAAGCATTCGACAAAGTCTAACATCCATTTATGATGAAGGCCTTTGAAATTCTAGGGATAGAAGGAATATAACTTAACATAATAAAAGCCATATATGACAAACCCACTGCCAATATTATTTTCAATGGCAAAAAGCTGAATGCCTTTCCTTTAAGATCAGGAAACAGACAAGGATGTTCTCTCTCACCACTGCTCTTCAATATAATACTGGAGGTCCTACCTAGGGCAATAAGACAAGAGAAAGACATACAAGGAATCCAAATAGGGAAAAAAGAAGTAAAACTATCACTATTTGCAGATGATATGATAATATACATAGAGAACCCTAAAGACTCCACAGAAAAACTACTCAAAATAATCAACAAGTTCAGTAAAGTAGCAGGATACAAAATCAACACACAAAAGTCAGTAGCCTTCCTATACATGAACAATCAATCTGAAGATGAAGCAATCAAGAAAACCATTCTTTTTATAATTGAAACAAAAAAATCAAATACTTGGGAATAAACCTAAAAAAAGAAGTGAAAGACCTATACAAAGAAAATTATAAAACACTGTTAAAAGAAATAGAAGAAGACACATAGAAATGGAAAGACATCCCCTGTTCATGGATTGGAAGAATTAACATCATCAAAATGGCCATCCTACCAAAAGCAAATACATATTCAATGCTATTCCAATAAAAATCTCAATGATATTGTTCAAAGAAATAGAACAAATACTGATGAAATTCATATGGAACCACAAAAAAACACAAATAGCCAAAGCCCTACTGATGAAAACAAAGGAGAAAAGAGGTAACACACTTTAAAACTTTAAGCTATACTATAAAGCCATAATAATTAAAACAGTTTATTATTGCCACAAAATCAGACACACAGACCAATGGAACTGAATAGAGAGCCCAGAAGTAAAACCACACTTACATGGACAACTGATCTTTGACAAAGGAGTAAAGAACATGCAATGGAACATTGACAGTTTATTCAATAAATGGTGCTGGAAAACTGGACAACTACATGCAAAAAAAAAAAAAAATGGAACTAGACCACTACCTCTCACCGTGCACAAATATCAACTCAAAATGGATGAAAGAATTGGACATAAGACCTGAAACCATAAAATATATAGAAGAAAATATAGGCAAAACACTGCAAGACATACATCATAATAATATCTTTAAAGACTCATCACCCAAAGCAGTGATAGTGAAGGCAAAGATAAACACCTGGGATTACATCAAACTGAAAAGCTTCTGTACAGCTAAAGAGACATTAACTGAAACAGAGAGACACCTCACTGATTGGGAAAAAAATCTTTGCACTCCATTCAACGGATAAGGGACAAATCACATAGATATACAAAGAACTCACGCGACTCAATATTAACAATCCAGTCAAGAAATGGGCAGAAGAACTTAAAAGACTCATCTCCCAAGAGGAAATGCAAATGGCCAACAGGCATATGAAAAAATGTTCAACATCCCTTATTATCAGGGAAATGCAAATCAAAACCAAATTGAGATACCATCTTACACCAGTAAGAATGGCACATACCAAAAAACAAGAAACAGCAAATGTTGGCGAGGATGTGGTGAAAGGGAACTTACCTAAATTGCTGGTGGGAGTGCAAACTGGTCCAACAGTATGGAAAGCTGTCTGGAGATTCCTCAGTCAACTACAAATGGAGCTACCATACAACCTGGCAATTCCTCTCCTAGGGATCTATTCCAAAGGACACAAAATGATTGATTCAAAAGACCACCTGTACCCCTATGTTTATTGCAGCAATATTTACAATAGGTAAAACCAGGAAACAACTGAAATGCTCCAAAATAGATGACTGGATCAAGGAGATGTGGTATATATACACAATGGAATATTATTTGGCAATCAAAAAGATAAACTCATGCCATTTGCAGCAACATGGATGGAGCAAGAAGGAATTATGTTCAGTGAAATAAGCCAGAAGGAAAAATAAAAATATCAAATGGTTTCACTTATAGCAGGAATATAGGTGAACCAAATAAGACATAGTGTAAAAAAATAATAATGGTACAAAACACAACAGAGCAAGAACAGACAATTATAAATCAGAGACATCCTGCAAGGGAGGAGGCTGGAGAGGGATCAGAAGGAGGGAGGGAGGAGCACAGGGGACTGAGGTGATGGTACATGGGTGCATTGGTGAAGGAAACTATGGGGACTATACCTGAGGAGGTGAGGGAAGCAAATATTGTTTAAAAATGCACAATGATGTAGAAAATAAGAAAAATTAATTAAAAAATTTTAAAAAAGAGCACCCATATCCTTCTTTAGTTTCAGACTCCTCCAGTCAGACAGCTGCTTCATCAAGCAGTTTATTTCAATAAATCCGCCTTCTCTGTTCTCTACTCTGTCTCTGGTGAATTCTTTGTTCGCCCTGTGTCCAGCCTCACTCCAATATTTCTCCCCACTGCAGACATCTCTGTGATTCAAACGTTAACAGCTTATGATAGAGATGTATATATGAGCTCAGATGCCAAGGTAGTTGTCTATGTGATTAAGAATTTGTGCCTTGTGCTTATTCATCCATTTGTTCACATGGAAGTATTATGTGTCTCATTATTTAGGCACAATACCAAGTCCTGGATATATATATAATGATAAAAAATAAAATACTCCATCTTCAAAGTAATCCCACTTGGTGATAAGATAGAGCAGAGGGATATGGTACTAAAGGAAACCACAGAGTTGAGAGTGTTCTGAGTTTAACAGGTGTCCTACAGTCTCCCCCTTACATAAGTCAGAAGCACATGGTTTACATGTGGATTACACATGGGAGAAGCACATGGGTTACAAACGTTCTGTATGAGGAAAATGCAAACATTTCTCTATTATGTTTGTTTTCTTAAAGCACTTCCATTTTAATAACGTGTATCATAGTAGTTATGGCCATTTTAACACTGAAGCTCTGGAAAGATAATCTATATATGTATATATATATATTTTTTTTTTTTGCAAGAAGGCTTTTAATTCATTAATGGGGAGTGAAGAGAGCAAAGATCAAAGATTTTCAGGACTAGATACGAATTACAACTCTTTCTCTGACAAGTACTGGGATCCTCAGTTTATTCTTATTTAAAATAGCAACACCACCACCTATGGGTTGAGGATTCCACACAATATACATAAATTACCTGCAAAAATGTCTTGAAATTATTGGAAATAATTGGAAATGTTGATAAATGCTATACATGGTGGAAGGAGTAAGGATCTCTCTGAACTCACTTTTAAAAAGGCTCTAATCCATTTCCTAAGAGTTCTAGCCTCATGACATAGCATTTCCCAAACTATTTCAATGTATAGATTTGGGGGTGTGGGCATAAACATTCAGACTCATTTTAGTAATATATGTTTTTTTAAATATTTATGCATACAAGAACTGGGGTGTAGGCCAGAGGTTCAGGGGGTGAGAGGAGTCACCAGAGACAGAGTGGGGAACAGAACAGGCAGACTGACTGAAATATACTGCTGAGGGGAGGAATGGGTGAGGCAGGAGAGGTCTTCTGTGCCATGTCGGTAGCTCCCTGGCTGGCAGGGAATTGAATTCGTGCTACAGTGCCTGGCAGTAGCTTGATAGTACTGTCTGTAACCCCTGCACCAACAGGAAGGCCCAGTAATATATCTTAATTTTTATATTGATTACATGTTGAAATGACCATCTTTTAAATTTATTAAAATGAAAAATACTGAAATTAATTTTACCTTTTCTTTTTTACTTTTTGAGAGTTTTATGTATTTTTAGATTACTGTTCCTAGAATTTGAAGTTCACATCACTTTATACACTATACAGTCACATGAGAGAATTAAAGAGTTCTGCACAGAAAATTCCAAATGAGAAATTTTACTGATTTTAAGCTTTATCAGAATATTTATAATGTTACCACAGTATGTTTCTAAAAGCCAATATTTTAGGATAAATCAATGTAACCTTGCAACTTGAGCAGGAGATAAAGATTTGCTTAAGATGCAAGATAAGAAGTTGCACTTCTAAAAATAATGTGGTGTGACTTGAAATCTTAAATGCTTTCTAACTTTACTGTGCTTCTCCCTGCAGACTTCTTTAAATCCTTGTGTGTTTTATCTTCCATTCTACAGGGTGTGCCTTCTTTAAATACTCTCTCATATTAATTATCTTCCCTCTTTCTATGGCAGATGGCTAGATGAGTACCAAGATGACGGAAAGACCGAGAGGGAATTGCTTGTGCAAGATGGCAAGGGTGTTCCAGGAAGTCTGGATCTTTGAGCCCTGACACTGCCCACTTGGGTCTGTCTCTCCACAGTGCATCAAAGGCTAATGAGCGGAGTGTTCTTACTGGAGTAAACCTGGGGAATATCAGCCTGTGCTGGACTCATGAACTGTTTTGAAAATTTCAAAATTGGGGAGAAACATCAACCAACACTTGACCAAGATCAGTTTATAATCTCTGGGGTGCACATATTATTTATTCTTCTTGTTCTTCTCATTTTGTCTTTCAGAAAATCTGATACTTGCTAAGTTTACTGCAATGTTTAGATAGTCTTAGTGGAAAGTAACTGAAGAAGAACATCACATCTGATTAATGAGAAATACTTCTATACAATATATGTTGATTTAAAAATGGAAGGCATTCTTAGATAATGTCATGTGTCTGTTAGTATGTAAAGAAGCAAATTTAAAAAGGAAACAATCAGTTGTATTAAATTGTGTCCCCAGGCCCTTCATGCTGGTCCTTGCAGACTCAGTCTTTAGGGAGCTGGTCACTGGGACTTCAGTAGACAGCAGCAGAGTGTCATGCAGGAAAACATTTGGTGGTGACTTCTGCCATCCATTAGCCACTGCCCCCAGGTAGCCTCAAATACTTGTCAACTTGGTGCCAGAGGCAACGTTTTCCAATCCTTCCAATTCATATGTGAGATAAAACCCATTTGTCTGAGTAGGAGATACGATGGAATGGTTTTGATGCCAGAGTCTGTATTTAAATCCTTATTCTGTCGTATTTTTCAGAAGAGGAGAAAGACTTGGAGAAACTTGACAAGTTCAAAGGCTGAAGCATATAGGTAAGCAGGATTTGAACCCAGGTAGCCTGACTCCAGCCACATGTGTACACACGGCAACCTCTTAGCTATGACCTGTGTGTTTTTATCCCATGAAATCAATAGGAGACCGCAAAGAGTCAAATCTCACTCAATACCCCTAAGGCTTCTGCTATATGCAGGAACCACCTGACCATTGTAAGCTTAATATTTTTTCCTGTTGAATATCTTTAAATCAGGTAGTTTGAACAGAGAGGAAGCTTAGCCTTGTCCTAAATCATATTCAAAATATTTGTGTAATCACTGATTTGACATATCATCACATTTTCCCTAAAACACATTAAAATGAGTCTATAGCACAAAAAATTTAGACTATATGCTACCTTAAATTATCTCCTAATATCCAGTAGGTCTGGCTTATAATGATCAGTAAATATTTCAGTAAATTAAAGCTGCTAAAAAAAAAAATTAAAGCTGCTATCACCATGGTTTTCCTTTCATGAATCTGCAACAAATGACTAATCCAGTCCCAACATCTGAAAACACATCAAAATATAGCTTCAGTGATTTGAAGTTAAAATAGTTTTTTTTTTTAATAAAGTGACCAAAAGTTGGGTGAGTCACCTTGACCTGTGTGATGCTTACTGCATTGTTCCCTGCACAAAGCTGATACTGAATAAACACACTCTTTAATTAAGCAAATGTTTGTTAAGCATCTCCTTTGCGCTAGGGCCAGAGTTAGGTACTGGGTGTAATCTGGCAAACAGCAGAGTTATTTTCCTGCACTCAGAGGGCCTTATGTCCTGGTGGGGACCTGAGCGAATAATGCAAGACTGAGCACAAATCAGTACCACTTGTGGCTAAATTGCAAGCCCTTTGGAGGAAGAGATCATTTTTGCTTCTCTTCGTGTATTTAGTTCTTGGCCTGCTTCCTGACTTATAGCAAGTGCTGTGTTTCTATTAAATGCATGAATCATCCTTGTTACAGTACAATACACCTTTTAAATAAGAATATTAAATTTTACCTGATTCAGCTCCTATTTGTGTGAAATAAGTATTCACATGTAATTATACTCAATTCCTATATTTTTACAAACTTTTCTACAACATTATATTTAAATTCTGAACATACTCCTGCCTCCTGTCCCGCTATCACACAGAATGGAGTTGGATGTTTTACAGTTCTATTTAGTGGCATATTTTCAATCCTTCTCTTGAGGGGAGAAGTTGTGTTAATAATGATTCGATCCATTTTTTTGTGGATTATTGTCTGGTTCCTTTATAAAGTGACTATACTCTGGAAACTGGAAAAGGACAGAGAAGACATATTTATTTCTGGCTTTTATGAGAAGGGAAAAATTGTTAAGAGAGTACATAGTACAAAGAAGGCAAATAGATTCTTAATGTTCAGATTGGGTAGAAAGAAATGTTGTGTTTTTCTTGTAGAGAAAATAATACAACCCCCTACCCAGGAACTTGCCTTGCTTATTCCTTGAAAATGTTGGAGATAAGAGAAAAGAACAAAATCAAGGACCTGAAAGAGTATGCGTTTCATTCATGGAGTAACACAACTGTCTGGTACAATTCCAGTATCTGTGTTTGCTTATACCTCAGAACAAGCAAACTGGAGTGAAGATCTTTTATGTAATGGGGTAAATCCTCCATTTTAACCATCAAATTATTTTAATGATACAAAGGTGAGGTGTATGGCCTGCAGGTTCTCATATGTTTTCATAACAAATCTCTCAAAAGAACTAGGTAAATATTTAGGTGACACACCTTCTTTGTGATTCTAGGAAAAACAGTATCCTGAAAAGTTAAGTCAATTAAGCCTTCCTTAACAGATAGAAAGGCCTTCAAAAAAAAAAAAAAACAAAACAAAACAGTGATAAGTTTATGCCCTAGCTATCAGGGTTAATATTTTTGAATGGTTTCATTTTCAGTTACTTTTAGAAGCAAAGGTCCACTGCAAAAGAAAGATTTCTTCAAGCTGATGTTTTAGAAATGGAGATTATTTTAATTCTTTCAGGCAAAGGAGGATAATATACTAATATAATCAGTTGAGAAATTAATGTTTTGTTTCTGTTATCACAGAGTCTAAAGATCGCTGATATATCACTAACTTTCTTGAGATATTTCTATGCCTCTATGGCAAAGCCTGAAGAGAACCCATTAAACTAGTGAGTTTATAAACATGCAGCACTTTGATTATAGGTCGATGTTAATATTTGCAAGATCAGCTCTTCCAATTGAGATGTTACAAATACGCCATATACAAAGTGTTTAACCATGTTGTTTTGTTTCCTTGGAAGGTCCTTTCCTTTTTACATGGAAAACTACTCGTTTTCTGAGAATAAACTGAAGGTTTCAGCATGAGTCTGAAACTAGCCACCCACCTATATTCGTTGTTTCCAAATCACCTTGTCCTTCCTCTCTAATTACAATTATCATTCTCACAGCAGAACTGTATCATAGTTCACAAACACAAAAGTATGACAAATATTACTCTTTTTCTTATCCATGTGCCAGCGGATGTCTGGCTCCAAGCCTCTGTCACACAGACTGGTAGAAAATTCCTACTCAAGTATTGCGTGTTCTCCTTCCAAGAGCAACAGAATCCTACAGGTTCAAACTCTGTTTGAAAAGGGAGGAAAGTGCTTTTCTTCCCCAGTTTGTCACGGTCATTGTTCCTGCTAAAATGTTTTCTCTTTCTGCTCCCAGGAAACGCATGTAGTACTAGAATTCTTGGCAATTTGGAAACCTGAGTGCTAGGACCCCCCTTTCTGGACTGCGACAGCCTCTCCCAGGAAGTCTCTATCTCCTTGGGGTTTCTTACCAAAATGACACATGTCAAAAGAATCCATTGTTCTGGGGCCCACAGACTTCTTTTTTTTTTTTCCCGGCAAAGGAAAGTTTCTTGTTCTTACTCTGTTGATTCCCTCTCTGCCCTCCACCACAACCAGCAAAACTCCTTTCTACATTATGGCTTTTATAGAAAATAGGACTTTGTTCCCAGAATGAATGTGATGGTGACAGAGAAAAGACTCTCCCTTCTCTTCTAATATATGATTTCTATTTTATGAAAGTATTGGACAGTGAAAACCTATAAACTTTTTAAATACATTGGAGGGTCTGCCAAAAGCAGATGAAACAGAAAATTGAAGGGCCAGACTGTGGCAAATCTTAGAAAATGTCAACAAAATTCCATTTCTATAGGGTGTATAACACACCAGGACACACAAAACTCCGTTTTTTATTTATAACCAGGAACAGACACCTATGTGAAGTGTGGCAGGTAAAGAGGAGGACTGAGATCAGGCAGGGACCGTGCCTAGGATGATTGAATAGTGAATGTCCCCATCACTATACCTCAAAGAATCCCCACAGCAATATATCAAGGAAATTGAATGGTGCACTGTCAAAACAAAACTAAGCCCTAAACAAAAATAAATAAGCAGTAATGAGTATCAACAGAAATAACAGGTAGCAAACAGAGTTACAAAGCCTTGAGATACTGGAACTGTCAGCACAGATAATAAAAACACCTATAGTTCCACAGTCACAAAAATAAACAACAGTTTCAAAATATCCACCGGAGTAGAAATCTGTAAAATTAATCTGGTATATTTAACAGAGCATCCACATAAGTCTTGTAGAAACTAAAAAATGCAATGCTTAAAATGTGAAACTAAGTATGCAAATTTAAAGCAAATTAGACTCAGCTGAAGTCTTCGCTAGAATATAGGAAAGAAATAATTTTCTAGAAAGCATCAGAAAAAGAGATGATATGTATGGATGTGGCCTAAGAGATTTTGAGAAACATTAAAAGAAATCTACATGCTAGAGTGAACAGTAAAAACTGCCTAATACCAAAAACATAATGAGCATTTAACAGCAGAATAAGATAAAGTGAGTTTATCTTCAGAGAAATTATAATAATCTAGATTTCTCCAGACAGGGAAAACATATTTCCAGAACAATGTCAAAATGAAGACATTTCAAACACAAAACATGCATGCGCACATGCGCGCACATGCGCGCGCGCACACACACGAATTGTAAGAATTTGTCCCTACTTCCTCACTAAAGTAAATTTTTAAGCAGATGATTCAGGCAGAGGTAAAGTGATTCCAGATGGAAGGATTGAAAATAAGAAGGAATGACCATCACAGAAAGTGGTAAATATGTAGAGAAATCCAAAACAAGATTGACTGCATACATACAATAGCA